TTTTTTTCAGAACTGGGGATTGAACTCAGGCCCTTGCACTTGCCAAGGAAGTGCTTATTCCACTGAGCTATCTCCCCGGCCCCCTGGAAGTTCTTTTTCCTATCTTCTGAGGTGTAATAAAGTATACAGTGAATGCTGCTGCTTTCGTCCAATAAAAATGGACTTGTTAAAAACATTACAGTGTGTCCTCGTCTACTTTATTCATGATACCTGGCACCATGAGACTTCTGGCCCGTTCCTAATATCCAAATGATCATGAAAGCGAGCTCTTTTGAATTGATTCAGAACATGGAGGCAGCTACAACAACACAACTACAGGTATTAAGAAAAGAGGATTTCCAAAACTGCCTCAATAAGGACAGCTGAAGCAAGTGGGAGTACTTTGAGGTAGACTAAGGGTACTGTGTCTTGTACTGCAATGATTTTTAATTTAAACTTTCACCGTAATTTGTGAACAATTCTCATACCTGTGTACATATCCATCTATGATCAAATCATGGAAACGATTACAGGTGTGAAAATGGCATGGGATGACACCATAAGAGACAGAGCTAGGGAAAAGAAGTGGGAAGCTGTGGCACTCATCAGGATAAGGACAACGCTGTGCTATTGGAAGGATGCTTTGTGACTGTCACACACATAAAAATAGATATATTTATCTATAGTCTCTTTGAACTTGTTACCAACTTGCTTTCCTTTTCATTGGACTTCAGTGGAGTTACAATCCTTCATTCCTGCCTTAGAGAATAACAGGAGTTGTGTGGGGAGCCCAGCACTGGCTCCCACCTAACTGGAGGACTGTGGCTGCGCAGGTGCGGCTGGCTGAACTGTGAAGATGAGCCCATAAATATATCCAATAGTTTAGCTCCTATTCAAATCATTTCTTATCAATTTTTTTCTTTTCCTAATTTCTTTCATACCCTCTCCTCAATTTCCTCTTTGCAAGTCTGCTTTGCTTCAGCTGTAATTCCTTCCCAACTGAATATTAGCATTTTAATAAGGTCTCTAAAACACTTCTCAGGGAATGAGAATTAGAAGAATTTGGATATATCTTTCCTAAGGTCATTTCCA